AACGATTACTAAAAAAAACGACATGACTTTCTTGCCCACCCAATAGCTCCGGGGTCTGGGCCAAGTTAACAATGGATATGAGTTTCCACCAAAAAATAAAAGTGCATATTTCACGAATTCTGCATGTAACTGATAAAGGTTCGTTATAACCGAGAAGAAAAAACCTTAACTGATGTACAATTTTTTCATTGTATTTTTTATGTTTATTTGTATTCCTTAAATGATGCAAATGAAACCCATTTTTTGCCTCCTTTCGAACGGCAACCAATATATTCCCCTAAAAAAGGTGCAGAACAAAAAAGCTCAGATATTGCCAACGCCCGGGGTCTGGCACTCTTGTCTGCAGTTGTGCGTATTTGTTTTTAATTAAAATAAATATTACCATAACCTATAAAATAATTGAAAAACAATTTAGCATTATTGCGTGCAGGTTGCCGCATTCGACGGAGGATGCCCCCTGGTTTCTCGCAGGAGTTGCACATGATTCCTCGGCGTGTCTGCTGGTGTTTTCCGATTTCTGTTTACTGTTTGTCAGTCGTTGAGGTTGCAACTTGCCACATCCGACGGCTCTTGAAAATGTGGGAGGTGCCAGCGGACTCGCGGCAGATTTACACGCCTTTATTTACCCACTCTGACCAATTCGAAGGGTCTGCATTCGATTCGTGATCTTAAAACTTACCCAACACCCTTTCTTTCTTCATTATAAAAATGTTACCACTAAAAAATCTAGCTTAAGCATTAAATTCAAAATTATGCAGGCACTTCATTGTTTTTTAAATAATATTTAATCGCGACTATCCAATATTAGTATTATATTTCACAACAATTAAAAATACTCCAAATCAATTTTACTCTATGCGTTCTGATAAAATTGGCTTTATTACATAGTAATATTGGTTTTATTATAATTGACAAGTAAGTTTATAAGCATTAATAAGTCATATATATACAAGATACTTTCGAAACCGGACATAGTTTAAGTTTTTACGTTACCCTCAATAAAAACACCATTTAATACTTGCCTTTCGTAACTATAAATTTAAAGGGTACTCATGCGATCGACTTTCTCATTGACCCAATTTTTTTTCTTCCCATTTTAATTTTAATTTAAAATATTTTTGCAAAAGTTTCGAACGCACTTGCCCACCCACCCACACTCACATTCGAACTCCCAAACCATTCGCTGTTGCGAAATTTCGTTTACTTTGTGGGACTTATATTTTGACATAATTATGCACACACACCCGGGCGTTTATATGTTTTTTAATTTTTATGCGTCCTACCCGCACTTGCAATGTGCGAAAAAAAATAAAAAACTGAAAATGAAAATCTTCTTAAGCTACAACAACAATTATAATAATTATTTAATTAAAAATGCTGTCGCTTGAGCTGGTGCTGCAGTGGATGCTTGCCGCTTGATTTTTCCCTTTTCAGCGATTTTTGTTTAACAGAAATTGCATTTACGAGTGCTCCGGCACTTGAGAGAAAATTAATCTATTTTAAGTGTGCAACATATCAGAGGCAGTAAAGGAGGAAATGGTCAATGGAAGTCGATGGTGCGGGCTAATGAGTTTGGGACTTTCAGCGCTGAAAATCAAATTACATCTTGTAGAAATATACATCTTTATTTTCGACCAATAAAAGATAATATTAAAGTTTCTCTTGTAAAAGTCATTTATCTTTGCAATCTGATATAGTTATCCGATCTCTTTGTTGTAGAGTTTCTTATCCTTACAAACATTATTGGAACCTTAAACCGTTTCCTTCTTTGTTAAGCACCTCCCTGCAAAAGATTTCCCAACATGACCTCATTTTCTGCCCCATATAGGTGAACAATCGGAGAAAACAATTGCCCAAAACGCGGTAGCTTGTCAGATTGATTACCACTCGATTGTTGGGAAAGTCTTGCACAATCCCAAGGGCGAACCGAAAATCTACATCGACTGCCGTGATTGACCGTAATGAGTTGGGTTTTTAGGTAGATCACGCCCGAGTTACACTGTTCAGGCCCTTTCTGCAAATGGTATTCGTATGGGACGAGAAGACGAGGCATAAAAATTCGCATTAAGCATACAAAAACAGTTGCAATTGTATCCAGTGTTCTTAAGCACCTTTGTATCTCTCTCGGTGCGGATGCCTGCTAATCTCTTATAACATATCCATTAATACGCAGTTGGTAGTCTTGTCCCTTGGCGAAGACCCTTCCCTACCTTCCAGCCCTGCCTGCCAATGCCAAATGATGAGAAATTAATGTGAGTCGAGCAGGAGAACCAAGCCTCTGAGCTCACAGCATGGGACTAGCGTCACGGTATTCTCCTCAGTCTTCGCCTCGCAGCGGGACAATTGGGCCCAGGTTATTGTTGGGAAATTTCACAGCACTCGACGGGGTAGAGCAGTCCAAGACCCAAGTTCCAAGGCCCAGCGCTCGGCTCAGTTAGGGCCATTGTAAGGTGTAACAAAAAACCCAGAAGATGCACACAAATTTTTGTCAAATGAAAACTGTCTTTGGGCACTTTATGAGTTTTCAAGCGGCGAGGAAATAACCGATCTGCGGCTGGGTGTCTTCACGCCCCGGGCTTAAGTTTCATGTGTTACCTGCTTTGGATTTTATAGTCGACCATGACTAAATGGGGTGATAAGTGAATCTGTAGCCGACTAACTTTAGGCCAAGATGAGGCATAAATCCGAGTAGATCCCATAAGCAGCTATTTTCTTAAAGGGATTATTAACTTTTTCGCATTTTTAATATATTTAAGATTGATTTAACCCTGTTTTTGTTGCTTATTACTAGGAAATTCACTATATCAACAGTGATATAAAATTAATTATCATCAATCATCAGTGAAATAATATTAATTACTGTGTTTAAAATGCGACCCATTTTTTAAACAAATACCCAACACCTTCATCGAAAATTTTCTTCATACTTTTATAAAGATAACCGCCAAAGTTACCACTATGTAATTGTAGCAGTTTCGTTTGAAAGCGGAAAAATGAAATTACCAACATCTATGAAAGCAGCCAGAAGAATAAATTTAAGTGTTAAATCTAGCCTTTCTTTCTTTTATTTCTGTAGGCCCCCTTTTATCCAGCCGAACTCATCGGTTTCGCCCCCAAGTTTGACCCCAGAAAGACATTCAAGACCACGTTAATTGAGCTTCGAGTAAAGACCAAAAGCCAGCGATAGATAACAACATCTGATAAATAGCGGGCCGAATCGAAAACGAAATCTCAATCTCTCTGAACTCTAAACCTCGACGGACTCTCGCTTTGGAACAATTGTGAAATGCTTTAATTTCTGAAGTACCTTTAATGAGCGTTTTCAACATGGTCATCATACAATCAGCCAGAAAAGCAAGCCAGCCAGCCAACCAGCCAGATGGGCCACAATGGTCTTCAATATTTGGACCAGGCCGGCTTTCGGTTCGATAATTATTGCCTTCGGGTAGCTGGGGCTTCAGGTTCTCCGAGTCTTCAGTCAGAATGAGTTTCGGGGCCCACAATCTGTAAGTGTATCTCGGTGCTGGAATCCGTATCTTTGCGACCATATCGCCGTGTATCTGCATCTGTGTTGAGGCGAATTAATGATTACATTCGCTTTTGGTACGCGGCTTGATCCACTAACCCTTGCCAGCGGCCCCTTCGGTAGCTCTTTCACTCAACTGGGGGCCATGAAAGGAAATTGTAATGATCGAAATCAAAATGTTTTCGTTACTTTGCCTCCTAATGAAGCTTGAATAGTGCGAATGACTCTCAACTCTCTCTCTCTGTCTGTATCTGTAAATGTATCTGTATCTCAACCGTTCTCGAGTCTCGAGTACACGCGCCTTTTAATCGAAATTTGATGATGGATTCCCCGCCAGCCCCGAGATCCAGTGGGGAAATCAGTCAGAGGTTGAGTATCTGGTCTTAACTCTTTATTGTTGGCCTTTGGGGGCTTGGTTCTGGCCGTTATTTGCCTTTGTTATTTATTTATTGTTATTACCGAGCATTGCTCGCTGGAAGTTCTGGAATGATTTCTATTTTCGTAATTGTCTAAATAGGTTTCGATTTGGCTTGAAATTGAGCAGGAAAATAAAGTAGGGCTCTTCGGTGTTCCCAGGGGCCAAACTTCTATGGTGAGTTGGCAACTTTCTGGTCCGCCGGGCGACAGCTGCACTGCAGGTGACAATGAAGGGTTGGCTACGAAGTTGCACATGTGTTTTCCCTGCACATTCAATTGAAAATTATGTACACTGCCACCCTCATCTCCACTTGCCACGCTCCGCTTGAGCCGGGTCTGCAAAAGTTTCCGAGCTTGTTACTATTGAATAATAGTATATTAATTTTGCTGCCTTTTTTCCCCAAGCTCTCGGCATGCAAGCCCTCAACTTACTTTTAATTGAATTGAAAGTCAAAAGTTTTGAGCCCGTGGAAAAGCAAAAATAAAAAAAGTGAAAATGTCGAGACAAATTGACACAGAGGAAAAGTTGCCGGTGCAAACGGAAAATGTTTAATTAAAGGCAAATTTCCACGGCTGCATGTGAAGAACTGCGGGCTGAAAAGGAAAGCTGCTAAATTAAAAGCTGAATGAATACACACACTGGTAGTTTTTGTTTTTCAAATGAGTTTTTGTTTTCATTGCGTATATTTTTGTTGTTTTCTGTTGATATTTTGTTTTTCGCTTAAATTTGCATAAATTTCTTGTCTAACTAATACATAAATAGTTGTTTGCATTTGATTCGATTTTACATTTTACAATAAATTAAATAAGTTAAAATTAAGCTTAAAATGACTCTCAGTGCTTTGTTGTCTTTAGTTTATCTAAACTCGTATATCATTTACAATTCATCTTAGGGGCTACGATTAACTTATGCTCGGAGGGGGGAGGAAAACAGTAGTGTTGGCAAAGTGCTGATAGAATTGGAGATCCTTCAGTGTTCTATAGGTTCGAAAGAGTGCTCTAGAGTTAATCATATATACAAGGCAAGATATACTCTGACTTAATGCCTAGTTCGAAATTCCGATTACAGCTACTACAATGTTTTCCTTAAGCCTAACTAAACGCTAATTGTGTGTTGTGGGGAGGGAGTGGTTTTAGTGGGTTCTGGGGGGGTTTTGGCATCACAGTGTTGGACAGCGGAGTACTAAGCATAGATGCTCAGCTGCCTGCGTCGATAGGTCGAGGATCAGTGCGTGAACTGACGCAGGGTGTTGTTGTTCTGCTGCTGCTGCTGCTGCTTCTGGGCGGCGGACTTCTGCTGGAAGGATCTGCGTCCTGTGGTGGCACACAGGCCATTCCGCAGGGGCAGGGCTGGCGGCATCGGGGGCGGCGTGGGCGTCTTGCTGCGACCCAGCTGCTCCAGCGGCATGGAGTAGTGGGTGTTGCTGTAGATGTAGTTGTGGTCCAGCATCTCGCTGCCCATCTCCTGTTCGTACATCTCGCGCTGCTTGAAGTGCTCCTGGGTGAGACGCAACTGCGGTTGATTTGGGGCACTGCCCATCGGGACACCGTGCACCATGGGCACATCCGCGTACGAGTAACAGGAGTCGCCCACTGTGGCCGTGGCCGCGAGGAACTGCGGCTTGGTGTAATGGTTCAGCTGGGGATTCGCCTGATGGACATCTCGTCCCATGGTGGCCGACTTCATGTGCAGCACAAACGAGGCACTGTCATCGATGGCTCCCTGCGACACCAGCCCCTTGTTGTTGTTCAGCTTCTTCTCACTGACCATTGTGGCAGTGGGCACAGCCAACTGCTGGAACTTCTGCTGAGGATCGACGGCACCCAGATCATTCACCGGCATGGGGCACATACCATAATGGTGGGCAACTCCGGGATGGTGGGGTGCCGTGTAGGTGTTCGGGAAGGTGGAGTGGATGCCCAGGGAGCAGGGATGATGCTGGTGGCGCGACATGTAGTCCTCATCGCAGAAGGTCTTCTGGTACTCCCGCTCCTTGCGGCCCAGCGCCGAGTTGCCCCACAGACCTCCCTTGATGGTCTCGCGGATCTTGTGGCGGCAGCGGTACAAGACCAAAGCCAAGGCAGTAATGGTGGCAGCGGATCCCACGAGGAGGGCTCCAATCAGGGCCTGCTTGCGAGGATCGGCATGGGTGCAGCCCATCAAGGCGGGGTTCAAATGACGCAGGGACTCGCCACGCAGACGTTCGGGGAACTCGCACATCAGCTCGGAAACCTCCTCCTGACTGGCATTCTTGGCCACCAGCAGATTGTGCAGCCACATCACGCGGCAGTCGCAGGACAAGGGATTCTCGGAGAGGTCCAGGGTCAGCAGGTCCTTCCAGGGGAACAGACCCTCGGCCAGCGAAGTAAGAGCATTGGCCTTCAGAACCACATGCCTCAGATGGGGCAGTCCACTCAGAGCACCCTCCTGCACCTCCACGAGCATTTTGTTGGACGAAAGGTTCAGGTACTCCAGGTTGCCATTGTCGCCAAAGGCTCCGGTCATCACTCGCTTCAGCTTGAGGGCTCCATTCACCTCCAGACGTTTGAGTTGTTTTAGGCCCATGAAGGCTCCCTCGCTGATCACCTCAAAGTCATTCTGGCCCAGGGAGAGCTGCTCCAGACGAACCAGCTTGCTGAGACCCACGGAGGGAATGCGTTCCAGGCGATTGTCGGAGAGATCCAAAACACGCAGTTCCTCCAGACCCAAAAAGCTGTCGTGCGAAATGTTGCGCAGACTGGCTCCCTTCAGCTCCAAACGACTCAAACCCTTCAGATCCTGGAAGGCACCGGGCTGAATGCTCTGCAAAGTGTTCATGCCCAGGAAGAGTTCAGCCAGACTGGGCATGGCCTGGAAGATCACGGGATCGGGAACGGTGGTCAAGGCATTATCATCCAGATACAGGATGCGCAGCTGGGTGAGTCCATCGAAAGCCTTGGGGTCCAGGAAGCCAATGCGGTTCTCGCCCAGATTCAGTTCCTCAACTTTCAGGAGCGGAGTGAAGGTGCCCTGGTGGAGCTCCGAGATTTGATTACCACGCAGATTCAGGACAGTCACCGCCGACAGACCAATGAAGGTCTTGTTGCTGATCTGGCCAATCTTGTTGTGATTGAGATGCACCTCCTGCAGCTTCTTCTGGTAGGCGAAGGTGCGCTGCGGGATGGTCATCAGGTGGTTCGACGACAGATCGAGGAAGGTCAGCTCCGCGTAGAACTGGATGGACGAGTCGATAGTCTTGATCTTGTTGCTCTTGATCACCAGTCGCTGGATGGAGGGATTCAGGGCGATGGGCAGCACGTCCAGCTGGCCCTCGCCGCACTGAACCACCAGGGTATTATCATCGCACTGACAACCGGGCGGGCAATTGGCCAAACCCGCCGCGGGCTCCACTCCAATGCTGGCCAAAATGCACCAGATGCCCACGAACGCGATCATCATGTTTCGCTGCATCTTGGGTTCTTGGTTTTCGTGTTTCTTTTATATTTTTCAGTTTTCTCTCTGTGCTGCTGCTTCGATTCTATTGGATTTTTCCTCGGGATTTTCAGTTTTCCATAGTGCTGCGGGTAGACAAACGAGGGAAATATTTTTCGAAATTAGTTTCTGTCTTCTGGGTGAGTTCGGTTAATTAGCCTATTTTCGTGGAACTGTTTCTATTGATTAAAATTTAGAGGTTCCCCAAGCAAATATTTTGATTTTATGTTTTCTCTAGTATCTCAACTCAACTTTATTATTAGTTTTAGTCTTTACGACATTCTGGAAAAAAGTATTTCAAATTCTACATTTTTCACATTATTAAATTTGGGAAGCTCAATAAATATTAGAAAGAAAAGTTTTATTTTGCTTTATGTTGAAACTATTTTTAACTATCAGTTCTCTATAAATATATTTCTTTTTTAATTAAAGTTTGTTCAAACTTTTTTGGAACAGTTTTCTAGCCTCCACTTTCCTCAACTCTTCACAATTTATGCCACAAGTGAAACTTACCTATTGTTTGTCTTTGAAGATTGTTTGGCAACAATTTCTAGTTTTCAGCAAATTAAATAGTTGATAAACAGAACTTAAAATGCAGTGTTTCGGTTTGGTTTTTGTGATGTGTTTGAGTTTTCACTGATTCACTTTTTCAAATTTTTTGTATGGCCAATTTTATGTTTTGTCACATTTGCTTAACTAAAACATGTGTGTTTTTGTCAAAATAAAATTTTGTTTGATGTGTTGTTTTTAGTTTGCTGATTGTTTGAGAAACGTGCGCGATAATCCAATGGTTCGCTTTGGCTGCACGCTTCAAGTTGTTGTTAGGCGTTCGACGGGTTTTCGTTGGGTTTACGTATTTCGTGTTACCAACTCTGGTAAGAGAGGAACTAAGTCGCAATGGGCTCTATATGGAAGGCAGACAACCGCTCACGACGAGGCAACGAACTACACTGATTTTACGAAGCGACTGCTGCACAAACGATACCTCGGCTGCCTTAATCGCCGGGGTGGTTGAGCGGTTACCCATGGAGCGGCAAAGAGCCGAGTTGGTGGTGGCAGGCAGCTGCATCTTTTTTAGAAAGAGAGACGGCCTTGCGAAGGCGGGTTCTCTCAGATAAACCCGCCAGCAGGTAGTCGGAACTGGTTGTGAGAGTCAGGCCCCAGAGTTACGAATCCATGGCTCTCTATCTCTCTGTTGGTAGAGAACTCGGTCCTCTGAGTTCCACTCCAAAATCCCACTCATTTATCTGGCTATACGGGGTCCATGGGTCTAGAAACACTCTCCCACAATTGCAACTCACCCGTCAAACGGGCAGCACGTCCTCAAGGAAATGCTATAGCCCATAAAGACTAAGACTTAGACCAAAAAACATGTAAAGGCTGCAGCTCTATTAAGTCTCCATAAAAAATAGCCTGGCATATGCATATTTATGGGTCACAGACATATCCTGGCCTAAGTGCAGCCTTTTAGTGCGGTTTACAAACCAAAAGTAACGCACTTGAAATTGATATTTTTGTATCACCAAGACGACTTGCAGCCGAGGACCCCAAAGTGTTGCACTAAAGTATTTCCCAAAAATATTGTGTCATCTGATACATTTGAGATGCATTTCTCATTCTTGGCATGCAGAGCAAACAACTATTTACAAGTCGACAACTACAAAAAAGAAACGGAGAAAAAAAACAGCAGTGACAACAAGAAAATCAACTTTAAATGGCCATAACTTTGTGCCAACATATGTGGCGGGATCTGAAGAGTAGGGCGGGGCGGGGCACATTTTCCTGGCCTTACGGCATGCGGTTTTCCTCCAATTTCCCCCCTCTAAACCCCTTTTGCTCCACTGACATAACTGGCATATTTCCGTCTCCGAGAATTTCGCACACAAAATTTATTTATCATAGAGAGATGCAAATCTTTTTCGACTGCTTTTTATCTCACATGCTCTAACCAATAAGTAAACTTGTTAAATTTATATATTACCCAAATTTGAGGCAACTTTGTGTATTGAAAGCCCAGGCAACTGTTAATAGTTGCATGGCCATTCCATTTTATGAATTTGATTTAATGTCTGGGCAGGCAAATAAATATAAATAATTTATGGTAGAATGAATGGGGTAAAATGTTTCCAAGGATATTAAGTATTTAAGATGGATCTTTTAACCTTGGTTTTGAATTTTATTCTAGTTGTGTTTGCCGAACACTTGATGGAAAAAATGTAAAAGGTTCTTCACTTCAAATATTTTATAAAAAATAATTAATTTTAAACGATATTGTTAAGAAGTGTAAAGCACTAAGTCTTTAAAGACATTGAGGAAGTCTGGAAGCTTCATTTTTACTGACTTCTTAGAGAAAGGCTTCTCCTCAATGTAATAACAAATTTAAATACCTATTCGAGAATTGGAAACATAATCCTATTAAAATAGCTTGTATAGTTGGCTCGTAAACGGCATAGCTGCTCCACATAGGAATAGGCTGCGTAATTTCCTTTCGAAAACCAGATCCAAAACACAGTGATTGCTGCACATGCAGCTAACGGAAGTTTGCGTTTTTATTTTTATGTGTGCCACAAGCTGGGCGAGACAGGTGCCACAAGCTTTAGTTTTTTTCCAACTCTCACGTTACACATCGGAAAGCCTCGATCTACCCTCTCAATTTGCGACAATGTGTGAGAATTTCCCAGCAATAAAACCAAAATCCGACAACTTAAAATAAAGGCGAGGTACACACATATCTCTATGCTTTATGGTAACTGGAAAGGTTTGTTTGCAGTGCGAGTGCGGAGTGAGTGCGGCCCAAGTTGCATATGAAAATTATTTGGCCAAACGCTAAAAGCACTTAAACAATTAGAGGCACAAACCAAGTGGAAAAGGGGGTCAGCTTCGTGTGTAATTAGGTAAAACAAGGTCTGGAGAAGGGCCCTCGACTACCGTTGTACCCCAGCACCAAACATAAATGCAAATAATATTGAGAGTCAGCTGCATATTGATTTTCATTATGGGTAGTTTCTGATTAAAGCCATCGTATAAGATGTGTATACTATAATTTATGTTTGAAGTTGAAGTTTGGGGAACCTGGGGAAATTAGAAAAAATCTTTCCAAAAATGAAAAGGCTATTTAAATACAGTTTTTTTCAACTTTTCGTTGGTATATAACTCACACGAAATACAAGAAAATTTTTTTTTGGGCGGAAGGACCTTAGTTTCTAAAGCCTTTTTCACAAGATTAATTTTTGGTAATGTATATTAGTTTAAATTTGATAAAGTAAAAACTTTTCATTTAAAAATATCAACAAAATTTAAAAATTTGAAAAAGTAGTGGAATTTTTACTCCATAAGTCGGGAAATAAGTAAATATAAATGTTGTACAACGTAATTCCAGATATAATGTGAAATATCTCTTAGTAACACTGATTCTTAAAAATATTTTTATGGAAAACTAAAATTTTGTTTACATATTCCCCGGAATAATGTCCGACATGAGGAAAATCGCCGGCAATCTGAACGGCAAACATAACGCACTTTGACCAAACAAAGAACCCGAAGTCGGTGGGAAGTGACTTATGGGAACGGACAGCTGACCAGGTCGCAGTCATATATATCCGTTTGCGTATATATTTCGTATGTTGGCCAGATTCAATATGGGTGCGCATGCGCCGCTTCTCTTTGGGCCGTTGTTGTTTTATTGGCCCCGACGTTGTTTTAACAAGAAACTTGTTAGTTGCAGCGGGTTAAAGATTTTCGAGTCTTGTACTTGGCCCTGTTGTTTGCCCGTCGCGACGTCGGCTACTCGTTTCATGTGTTGTTAAATCTTTCCCCTGTCGTTCCTATTTTTTTAACCAGCTGCCCTTCCAATTGATGTTTGCCCGCCTCATAAGCGACGGCACAACCCATTTGTCAGCATTTGAGGCAAACATTTTAACAAGAACCTTAAGCCGCTGACAGTTCCGGTGCGAATGCAACTTCCGCAGCGATTGAGATGAGGAGGAAACTTCCTAGACCAATAAAATATCAATTGACTCGGCAATTAATCATATTCCGAAATGTGCAAAGAATACTTTCGGTATTGGAACTGGAACTCAAACCGGAAAGACTGGGCCTTTGTTCAGGAGCTCACCATTCATCCAGCTTCACACTTTTTTTCGTCCTCGGCTACTCGTTTTTAGAGGAATCACAATAAATAATGAATCCAGAAATGAGCGTTAAATGCAATGAGAACGAGAATGATGAGAAGAAAAGCAGCAGCGGAAGTGAGCACACAATGGACCAGAAGACCGAAGACGAAATACTAAAGACTGAAGACTGAAGACTAAAGACCAGGGGCCCAGTGGGCACAAAGGCACAATACCCTCCTTGTGCCCCCACCACCGCCCAAAGGTTAACTTTAAATCGAATGGCAATGGCACAGTAAGTAAATACCTTAACACACCGCCGTCTCACTCCCTCCCTGTGAGAACGTTGTGCTGACTTGTGATTTTTACCCCGATATCTCGGAGTATTGCTGAGAAGTATCTCGCGGCTTTACCCTGCCTCACATCACCGCTAATGCATCTGAGGTCTGGGAAAGCTTCGAGAAATCGTCAAGTGGGCTGTGAGATCTGAGAAACAGCCGATTGGGGACTACCCATGCCTTATCAAAAGTAAACAACCGGTGAATTCTAAAAGAAAGTGTTAAAACCTCCGATTCAATAACACTTTCTTACCAAAGCAATACAAAGAAAATAGTCATTATAATCTCGGTTAAAATATTATATATCACTTTTTATATTTTTAGACAGCCTTCGTAGAATCAAACCCAAAGATTAAACTAACATTTTTAAAAATACTTTAATCCAACAAGTAATATTTCTAGCTCCCCAGTAAAGGAAATGAGCGCAAAGAAATACCCACTTTATAGTCAATCGTTAAACCACATACTATTGATCCCATCCTTTTTACTTTCTCTTATCCACATCGTATGCCATTAAAAATTGTGTAGCTGTAAAGGATGTTCCCAGTGGCTTAACTCTAAATCTTGTAACCCGATAGGAACGCCCAAGATTTGTGAGATACTAAGAGATTTCCCAACAACTATTTTTGCAACTTCCCCTTAGTGAACCGGAAAATGCAAATCAATTGCTGGTGCCCCCTATCTCCATCTCCTTCTCCGTTTCCTTTCTGATCCTGTCACATAAAGATGTGGCCAGGAATGCCCGTATCCGCTCCAAGATGCAGTTTGGTCCCAGCTCATTTCATTTGGCTCGCATAATTTATGCAAAATTATCAATCGAGATTTGTTTAGACAAAATGCAAACGGACGGGAAAACTAACAGAGAAGAAGGAAAAAATTAACGAACGTGTGCCGCAACAGGAAAAGCCACAAATTGTTTATGCAACAAGCCAGGGCCAAAAATAGCCAGCAGAGAAGCGACGTATCCTCTGACGTCTTGTGGCAAATCTATGAGATACGCATATCGCATTCGACTTATCTAGCAACAGCAACCTGATATGGCTGCCATCTCGCCATCCAGTGGACATTGGACAAAGGACGGCGGACAGAAGACAGAAGTCAGTGGATAGTGACCAGGGTCTAGAGTCCAGGGAGTGGATCGCTGCCCCATGCGTGATAAATGCCGCAGATAAATGCGTGTTGCAGTTGGGCACAGACAGCCAGACAACGCGGAGACACATGTTTGCATGCGCCTATTTTGCATGCCAGCCAAGCAAGCACTGAGAGAAATCGAACCTAGGAACTTCTAACTATGAATCACTTTTAAAAAGGCATGGGAAAAAAATACCTCACTAATCGTCACTAGTTAAGAGGGGTTTTTGCTTGTTTTAACTTACTAACGAGCAATTGCCATGCTAACTTTTGTCATTGACTTAAATTGCTTGTTTGGTACAATTTAGTTTCTAATGAATGATATGCTATTAGATCTCACTGAATACATAAAACTAGAAGTTTTTTTTTTAGTT